CATTGCTTTATAATTATCTCTACATATATTTGTATCAGCCCACTATTCGGTAGCTGCTTAGAGGAAAAGAAGTCATGTGAAAAAGACACTTGGACGCACATTTATAGCAGCACAATTTGCAGTTACAAAAATGTGAAACCAAATGTCTGTCAGCCAATGACTGGACAAAAAAAATGTGATACACACACACACACACACACACACACACACACACACACCCAGGGAATACTACTCAGCCCTGAAAGGGAGCCAAATAATGACATTTGCAGTAACCTTGATGAAGTTAGAGACGATTATTCTAGGTGAAGTAACTCAAGAATAAAAAAAACAAATATTGTGTATTCTCACTTACAAGTGGGAGCTAAGCTATGAGGGTGCAAAGACATAAGTGACACAATGCAGTTTGTGGACTCAGAGGGAAGGCTGGGGGGTGACAGATAAAAGACTACACATTGAGTACAGTGTATACTGCTCGAGTAATGGGAACACCAAAACCTAACAAATCAGGACTAAATAACTTTTCCATGTAACCAAAAACACCTGTTTCCCAAAAATCATTGAAATAAAATAATATATATGAAACCAATATGATAGTCTTGAGGCATAACATTCACTGGGTTTCACACGGGAGAAAAACAGCTAAAATCAAACACATGGACAGGTAGTCAGAACGAGGTCCATCATATAAGTAGTAAAATTAACACAAGGGCAAATATTCATGAGTGGAGTCCATTTGGAATCGCCTGCAGTGACAATGTATGTCTTCAGGCATACATAACTCACGTTAGGGAGAAAATGTATAATTTTACAAAATGTGAAACATCTTCAGAAATAACTCAATCCATGGTGTGCAGATGCAGTCCTGTACTGTAGAGACAAAGAATAAGAATTATCAAAGTGGAAAAACCTCTGCCCCTTCTCCAAATTCTGGTTCACACAAGAGAAGTACTACTGGAGAGAAAAGCCAAACATGTCCCAAATGTGGGAATGCCTTTACCTATCAGTCATTTCTTATGAGACATATGAAAATTCACACTGGAGAGAAACTTTATGAATGTAACCAAGTGGGAAAGGCTTTAGATATTCCATGTACCTTAATAAGCCTTTAAAATGAACATCGTGTGGAAGCTCTATGGCTATAACAAATGTGGGAAAGCCTTCAGCAAGCCTCAAAACATGCACATATAAGGAGTCACACTGGAAAGAAACCCTGTAAATGTGACAAATGTGGAAAAGACTTTGCAAAATCATTGGAACTAAAAGTCATCTTAAGGTTTACAATAGTAAGAAGCCCTGTGAATGAAAGAAAGGTGGGAAAATCATAATTCATGTTTTTCACCACACTGAACATGTGAGGACATACTGGAAGGGAGCTCAATGAGTTACCATGCATAAGAAAATATTTCCTGAACTCTCATATCTTACAGAAGTGTGAAAAGAAACCCTGTGAAGGTAAAGTCTATGGAAAGTCTTTTGTCTTCATTCATCGTGAGTAGATAATTGTTCTCACACTGAAGAACTATGAAAGTAAGGAATATAAAAATAAAGCCATCAGTGTCGCCTAAGACTCATAGTGCATACAAGAATTCACACTGCAGACTTCTTATGGAAGTAAAAAATGTAGAAAAGACCTCTGTAAACACTTACCCCTCCTGTTACACATAATTCCACACCCTAGAGGGAGACTAGAATTGGAATAAATATAAGAGAGCTTTCAGTTCCAGCTCCTCACTTACTGGGCATGAAGGAGCACATAGTAGGATTGAAGCACTGTAAATGTTAACAATTGTTGCCATTATCATGGTCTTATCCCTCAATTAGAACCCAAATGGATAATTTTGTAGTGTTTCCTTTCTTAAAAAAAATGGTATGACTGATGCCTATCTCTGTGCTCTTTCAGCTCCGCCATCTTAATGTTGATACACAGTCGGATTTTTACAATTCACTTACATACACATGGTTTCATTTTCAATGTAAAGGCCTTTTTGAGCTCCCTTCCATTTAGATTTAGAATTCATATGCTCCATGATACCTTTTTTGTCAGTGTGTTTTAATTGGTCACTATTTGACTGCATTATGGTCAGAGTATGTGGTTTTAATGGTACCAATTTGGGGTAACTTATGTGTTTCATTTTGGCCTACTGTGGCCAATTCTGTCCATTTCCCTGCTATATCTATTATTTTCATCTTCTTTGCTAAGGAAACAGATTCAGTTTTCACAAGTAGCACAGTTTAAATGTCTATCTATCCTCATTTTATTATTTATGTATATTTTTGAAAAATGGTCTCCCTTTGCCTCCCAGGCTGTAGTGCAGTGGCATGATCATAGCTCATTTCAGCCTTGGAACTCCTGAGGTCATGTGATCTCCCAGCTCAGACTCCCGAGTAGGTAGGACTGCAGCCATAACAGGTGTGCACCACCACTCCCAGCCTTTGTTTTATTTTTGTAGAGACTAGATCTCACCATGTTGCCTGGACTGGTTTCAAATTCCTGGGCTCAGGTGATCCTCCCACCTTGGCCTCCCAAATTGCTAGAATTACAGGCATGAGCCACCATGCCTGGCCCTGATTAATGTTTTTAAATAAGTTTCCCAGTTTTCCTCATAACTGTGGTGAGCAGAGCTTATAGTCCTGGCCAATGTGAAATGCAGAATTCACTGGTCTGGATTTCTGAAACTCTGTGTGGAAAGGGGAGAGTTATTGTTACTCTTTTCCCTTAACCAAGTTCCCTTTGCTCTCTCTGCTTGCTGCTCTCTGGAAATAGGATGAAATGCTCAGAGTCGGGTTTAGCAACTTGAAGACATTGGAATGATGGTCCCAATAACACAACCTTCCATATACAAGATTTCTCATTCGCCAGTGGCATGTTGAGTATCCATGGCTGCCCTGGACTATTTCTGGACTTGTTTCATGAAACTAACCCCTAGTAGAATTAAAAAACATTTTAGGAGAGATGTTTATAACAGATTAAATGATATACCTAAAACATGAATAAAACATATTATAAAAATAAAGAGAATAGACACAATGGGTTTGCAGATGCTGATTGGCCACACTCATTTTTGGCTGTTGCCCCCATGGATGCCCCACCTACTGTAACACTTGGAGAGCTGGCAGCCATCACTCAAGAAATCAGAACACATTGGCCTCTACTGCAGCATCAGGGAACTAAACAAACACTAAGCCTGTCAGGTCTCAAGAAACATACTTGTGTGAGTAAACATGGTACATAAATTTATTTGGTGACTTTGAGATATCTCATGCTAAACAGATAAAGTTAATTAAAACTAGTTTAAATTACTTGATTAAAACTAATTGCCATAATTAAAAATTCATGGCAACAGCACTCCAACTCCCCATTATTTATCCAGGGCATTGAAAATTGGAACACATCACAGATCCTTAAGTCATTCTCTGAATCAGGAGGAGAAAAGAGGAGAACAGAGAGAGCTCATTGTATGTGCCGGGCACTGGACTGAGTGCTGTGCCTACAGAATTCCACTTGATGCTTGCAATAATTCTGCAAGATAAAAGTAAAAACTCTCTCTCACACACACATTGTCAAGCACACACTAGAAACTACAGAACAAAGAGAGAATTGGCAACTAAGAGAAGTACAGGGCTGGCCAATCACATTGGCTCACGTCTATAATCTCAGCACTTTAGTCTAGGAGTTCAAGACAAGCCTGATCAACACAGCAAGACACCATCTCTACAAAATGTTTTTTAGATAAAAATCATTTTGAAAAAGAGGCATAATGCCTAAGGGCTCCGGGAAGCAATACCTTTATGGCTGTATGGTAAGCAGCAGGCAAGGCTACTTGTCGGACCAAAGTGGTAATAATTCTAGGGTTCCTTTGCACACTGAGCCAGGCTGCAAACTGCAGACTGGCTAGCTCAGCACTGCCTGGGTTCACTTTACCCTTTCCACAGCTCTAAAGCTCTGCCAGGTGGGACCTAAGCGTAAGAGAAAGTGATATTACGCAGGACTCTCTTGACTTCAAGTGAGTCCCTGACCCACTTTACCCACCTTGATTCAGCAGAACATTGAATTATTTGGCTCTCATTCATAAAAATGTCCATGAGTAGATGGCTTCTGGCTCAGTGGGATCAGGGGTCAAGTAATATCAACCAAGGCTCCTTCTGTCCCTTCATTTCCTGTGTCAGCTCTGCTCTTCAGGCAGGCTATTTTGGGAGAACAGCAAAAATGGCCCCATAAAGTTCATATCACTCATTTCCTTGCAAGTAGCTAATCCAATAAAAAGAACGCACCTCACTCCCAGCAGTATCATCAATGGTGCAGGGATGACTTCCATGAGCCCAGCTTGTATCACATGCCCATTCCTGAATTAATTACCCTGCTAATCTGATTGCCCAGGATGGGTCAGCCCTTCCCAAATCATGAGTTAGACATGGAGGAGTGGCCCTCCCATGAACGAAAATATGGAAGCGTAGTGGCAAAGGAATATGGGTGGCATGGCCTCATCTTTACATAAAAAGTATGAGCGTATTTGTGTTCTTTTATACAATCATTTACATAGTCACTGGGAAAAAGTTAAGAAAAACCCACACACGACTTCTACATGTCTCTGTGTTTTGTTTTCAACACTGAGCTGTGATATATTTAATTAAAACAAAACTTTGAAATAACGATTTGGGACCATAGGAATACTTTAGCTGATGCAACACAGGTGAGCAGTTCTTTGGTGCCATGAAGACACAATTCCCAGGAGCCCACCTAGGGTCTCCCAGAACAAGCATGTGGGCTACCCACTGGCTGCACTTCCACCTTTCCTTTCCTGGGCCGTCAGGAAGAAACGAGTTCTGAATTCAGTTGAACTGAGCTCAATTCAGGCTCTGTGACTCACTGGCTGTGTAATTCTGGGGCAGTCACTTGCTCCCCTTGACTTCCATATCCTCCTTGACAAAATGGAGAGGAAGAGTTACTGTCAGGTTTCGAAGGTAAGGTGAGGTTAGAGCAAGACAGAGAGAGAGAGTTGGCGGCTTCAACAGCAACACCTTTATTGCTGGCAAACCCTGCAGAGAAGGAAACCAGCTTAGTGCCAGCACCCACTGCTGCTCACAGGCAGAGGTAATTATGGGACTGGAGGGAATTACGGGACTGGAGGGAGCGGTCTGGGTGGTATAGCTTGCTGCACAGCAGGATATGGCAAGGATGTTCCTGCAGTCATATTTGCCCGGCAAAATGTGATAAGGATGTTTCTGCAGTCAGGTGGTTAGGAAGGCTGTTTCTCATGGCCTGAGTTCCCGTGGAATGTTTCACTCTGACCAGGGTCTGCAAAATGACTGGGGGTTTACAAAATGGTGTAGCTTGGACTAACAGTAATAACTCCCAGGTAGACAGTTCTTCAAAGTCAACTGCCCTTGAGCATCTCTACACTGTACACGACACAGTGCTAGGACCCAGGGCCACAGGAGGAACAGGACAGATGAGGCCCCTGCCATCCTGGTGCTCATGTCTGATGAAGGAAGCTAACAGGTCATAAGACCAGGTCAGATGATGGTGGTAACGCAAGACATTAGCTGAGTGAGATGAGCTGGAAAGAAACTGAGGGAGCTCTTCCAAACACAGTGACAGGCAGAGACCCTTACAAGAGGTGACTTGTGAGCAGAAACCTGAGAGATGTGGACAGGGGATATAAAGAAGAATCTGCCGCTGAAGCCATTCCAGAAGTAAGACCTAGCACCAGGTGGACAATGAAAAGTCCCGACCTGTGCATTCCTTTCTCAGTGGTGCACAAATAGAAACATGGGGCAATTCTGTGCAGGGTCCACGGAGGAAGCAGGAAGAAGGCGCACTGCAGAGCCATGCTGGGGATGAAATCTGGCTCAACAGTGAAACTAGGAGCAGGTGCTGCTTACACTGACTGCAACACAGGTCATGAAGCATAACTAAAGCATAACCAGCCCCTGAGGGCATGTCCAGAACCAGACCAGCTGGCCAGGCTGCCAGCATCTTAGTAGAGAGTCCAGAAGATCAGATGATCACGTTGGTGGGGGGTGGGGAGGACAGGAAAGCTTCAGGAAATTCCAGAGGACCCATGACACTTAGCACGAACTTCCCAAATGGGATTTGTTTGGCATTGTTGTTTCTAAAGGGTTGCTCCCTCCACCCCCACCTGCCCATTGCCCAACCAGGGGAAATCTCAGTGTGGGGTCCACAGAAACAATCCCAATGAAAGGGGAAAGGGTGTTTCTTATCAAAAACTAAGGAAGGAGACCCACAAAACACCATGGGAGAGGAGCAAGCATCCACCTTGGGGCCAGACAGCCCATGGTCAAAATTGAACTCTACCACTGTTCAGCTGTGTGACTTTGGGCAAGTGACTTTCTCTCTCTGATCCTCATGTTCCTTTTTGGTAAAAACAGCACAATGACAGGTCTATGGGGATTGGAGATGCTGACAGAAAAATGTGTGTCTTAGTTTGAGTTTCCTGGAAGTAGATCCTGAGGCATAGATTCAAATATAAAAACTTTCTGTGGAGATGACTGTAGGACAGTAATTCTACTGCCAGTTCTTCCTTAGGGTAGCGATCCTAGGAGATATCAGCAGAGTGGGGAGCTGTTGACAGGAAAGGAATGCTGCAGTTACAGGGACCTATATCAAGAAAGTTTCTACTGTGGCAGCCAGGACTTAGCCCTGCTAGGTACTTCTGAGAGACAGCATAGAACATGTGCCTCAGAGTCACCCCACCCAGATCAAGGGAGCTGGGTATTTATCCACTGATACCTACCAGTCACTCCTCAGGGCTCCATCCAAGGGCATGATTCCTCTAGAATGGCCTGGCTGCACTGCAAGGGTCAGACCTGGGGTTGAGGCCAGGGGCCCTGACAGCGCCCCCAGTAATGAGCAGGAGCACCACCTGGTGTGGAGAAATTTAGTCACTCAGTGACTCCAACACACACACACAATCACACCACACTGCAGCGCCAATACAGTGCATACATACACATACATACACATACGTGCATACATGACTGTAACCCTCTTAGATCCTGGTGAATGCATGGAGTAGATGATGAGGTGGGAAAAAGGGGGAAGAGCAAAATTAAGGAGAGTGAAGTTCTTGGGAACAAAACACAAATTTAGGCAGAAAATCAAGGGGCAAGAGGAGTGGTCTGGACACCAAATGCCTGCTGGGTCGCACCTGCTCTACACACACTGTCACCAATTCTCCAAGCAGCCTCATGGGATAGAAGAAATTCCCCTCAATTTACAGATGGCAGAAATGTAGTTCAGGAAAAAAAAAACCTGATTTTCCTGATGTCTCAGCAAGTTCATGGGTGATAGATATGGACTCCCAGATCTTTCTGTCGACAGAACCTAAAAATTCTCCCTTGTTAGGCAGGCTGGGTACCAGGCCCTGCTTCTGGGCTCTGCTCCTTTTCCTGCTAGGCAATAATGGCAGAATTGACAAAAACGTTTTCCACCTTCACTAATTGGAGGAGAGCCAATGAGAGGGCCTGGGGAACAGGCCATGAGGCCCTGCACCCACCATTCAATGTCTTCTGGATTGTGGGCCCTCGGGGCTCCTGCACCACATGCTGCCAGCACTCCCAGTTTCTGGTGTCTTGTGAGGTTGTGTAGGGCCCAGTAGAGGTCACTGGCTGTGTTGTTATATCCTGAGAGGCAGCCAGGCAGGTTTGGGTCTCTTGGCTGCTTCAGCACCAGAGGATGGACAGCGCCCACACACCAAGTCCCTGGAGAGAAAGGGGGAAGGGAAATGAAGGGCAGAATGGAGTGATATAAGGTCCATCCACCACATCCCTGGATGGAGAGACCCCTGTTCCCACAGTAGTCCCACACCGAGACCGCCACTGACACCCATCAAGACGCCGGCCTCCATTTATATGTCCTCATCTGACAACTTCTTCCCATTTTCATCCTGGAGACGAGACCTCTGAACCACACAAGCTCTGAGGGCAGCTGAGTGTAACCTGAGACAGTCCCTGAAGACCTTTCGTCCAAGCAGGATCCCTCCCTTACCATCGCCAGACCTGCCCCATAAGCTCCCTCCCTGGTCTCTTGGCTCTTGTTCACTCCTTCCAGGCAGCCTTCTACAGTCATCTCTATAACGTGTCTGTCTGTCCCTCCTTTATCCAGACCTTCCACGGCTCCCTAGAGCCCTCCAGATCAAGTTCAAGTTCCTTGATCAGACACTCGATCTCAAGCTCCATTCTACTCCTGAATTAATTAAGTTCCTAGAGAAGCACGCCTGGCTCAGCACAAATGCATCAATGAAGTATGAGGCCTTGAACGTGCCCTTGGCCTTGAGGAAGTCATCAACAGCCTGGCTAGTGCGGGTGCAGTGCTGCTCCAGGACGACAGTGTCAAAAGTTTTGCTCCAAGTCAGGCCCTGCAGAAGCCTCGCCCCCAGGAGTGAGGTAGTAGAGGAAGTCCATGCTCAGGCAGATCTGCTGGTGCTGTCACACTATGAGGGCACTGACCTCCAAGGTGGCGGCAATATATTCACTGGGATTCCTGCAGGGAGTGGAAGCAGCTCCATAACACATATGAAACCCTGAAAGCACTTCCCAGACAGAACCTCAGGACCACATTGCATGCAGAAACGGGTGCCCTCTGAGCACAATTCTCTCTCCGTGCCCACTCTGAGCTGCCTCCTGGCCTTACATGCCCCAGCCTGGCCCAGAGCCTGGAGCTCAGCAGGTGTTTAGTCCATGGAGTTGACTGCTCTCTGGGCCAGGAGAGCCCTTGGTGGCTCTGTGACTCCTGCTTTAGAACCCCTCCCTCTACCTTGGGACCTCCCAATTCCCATGGGAAGCCCCCATGGCTATGGATTGCCCCACCTGCCCTGTGATCTGCCAGCTCCATGGCCTTACTTGATGCCTTAGCTCTCCCAGACCATGACATGTTTCTCAGAATGTGGCTTATGTCCAGGGCCATCTGTGGGGTTTGCTGGGGACCTCTTGCTGTTCTCCTTTATGGTCTGTAGGGCAGGACCAAGAGGAAAAGCCAGCACTCACAACCTCAGAATGGACGAAAGGCTCACTGCCACAGATGGCAACCACCAAACAGTCTGCGGTGCTTCTGGAAGGAAAGGAGGTTTTATTCTGCAGAAAGCTCCTTGTTTGGCTTCTTTCTGAAACTGGGGTGGGGCAGGGGTACCAAGCCCAGCTTACCTGCAGTGCCTATGTTACCATCTATGCCTAGGATGTGTGATGGGCCCCTACTCCCACTGCAGGGTCGAAGTTCCCTCCAGCTGGAGGCCTGGGCTCCTGACACCACCTGGCCTGTTTGTCCTGCTCTGGATGAGCGCAGAAAGGCTGTACCTGGTATTTCCTTAGGTTTCCACATTCTAGACATCCAGCAGGAGTCACCATGTCCAGCCCCACATCTGAAAGGGGTCTCCCTTGTAGAGCAGCCAAGACATCTACAGATGGAACAGTGCTCGGTGAGACAGGCCACAGGGGTCCCCAGTGATAATCAGTGCCACAGGATTCCGAAGGTTTCTAGCCTTGGGCTCTGTGGTTCCTCAAAGAAGTTAGCTATATTTAGGACCAGGCCTCCCCTGCCACAATTCAGAGTGGATGAGTGCTCAGTGTCAAGAACTCTGGTCTGGACCTAGTTTTTTATTTAGGTCACCAAGAGAAAACCCTAACCCCTGAGCTAGAAGTGGTCCAGGCCCTGGCATGAGATTTTCTTTTAGCAACGTGATACTTGCAGGGACCGGTTTTAGAAAAGCTGGTGACCAGGCCTGCTATCCTCCGGGTAAGGACGGTGTGCCACCCACCCTCTGAGAGGCAGGTGGTGCCAGCCCACAGCACTGGATGCCTGTACCCCTGGCTCTGCAGACGTCGGTCATGGAGGTCCCACCCTCTACACATTACCTTCTTGCTGCTCCTCAATTTCTTCTAGTCATTAAACACTTGGAGCCATTTTTCTGTGCATCTCATCTGACATTTTTACTCTCAGATGAAACACAACAAAGCTGAGCCACCAGGATTCCTGGAGGGGACCTTGGATGCAGGGTCGTGGGCTCCAGGGCCCTGATGGGACTGAGCCAGAAGGAGCCAGGGAAGGACAAACACGGGCTGAGCCCCTCTGACCCACTGGTCATTGTGGCTTGGCCTTATGGCTCCAAGACAGGCCGTCCTCAGGCCACAGACATCATGGGCTTTGGTCATGTCCCAGCCTCCCAGTACTGTCCTGGCACTAGCAGGTGCTGATTCCTGAGCCACAATCGCAGTTCTTGGTTTTGGTGTGGAAAACCCCCTCCTGGACAGAGTTCTGGGGTTGGGCTTGTCAAAAACCATGGGGCCTCCCAGGGATGGTGTGTCACTCCTACTTGCCACCAAATGTGCACACAGGCTGTCCCCCTGTCCAGCTTATCCTGCTGGACAAAATGGAGGAAGTCAGGGAACAGGCAGGGTGGGCAGCTGGGGTGCAGGGAGATGCAGGTGCATGCTGGGAGGTCAGACCTTGCGAGGGCTGTGGGGGTATCAGGTGGAGTGGGCTCCAGGTGCACCCTGGGCTCCCTAGAACCCAGCTGGGTGATGTGGTCACTTTCTGGGGGACTGCTGTCAGGCCCCGGCCACCCACCCTGGGCAGCACCATCCCATCTCAGGACTGGACTTTCTGAGTCCTGAGACAGGACAGTGCTGCCAAGGCCTGACAGCCTGGGAGAAACTGTCAAGTCCTCCATCCCTAGACCAGCCTCCCACACAGCAGGGACACTGACCTTCACCTTCAGGGCACTGAGCAATCCATCTCACTCTAAGGCGACCAAGGCAGAGCTGAGGACCTGTGCCAGACTGGGAGCCAGTCCCCTCCCTAAGTGGGCCTGAGGGAAGCACCATCCCTGTCCAAATCCACACCAAGTTTCAGCCCAGGAGACACAAAAGGCAGGGAGAACAGGAACTCCCTGCTGACTGGCACTGGAAAAGTAAGACCTGGCAGAAGAGGAAGCGCAGGGCTGGCAGGGGATGTTCCAGGCCCATGGAGAGGTCAAGCTGTAGCAAACGGCTGCCCCTCCGAGGCTGGAGGCTGTGCCCTCTGGAGGCTCTGAGAGAGTCCAGTCCTGAGATGGGACAGTGCTGCCCAGGGTGGGTGGCCGGGGCCTGACAGCAGTCCCCCAGGGAGTGACCACATCACTCAGCCAAGGTCCAGGAAGTCTGGGCTGAGAACTGCCCAGTGTAATGAGGGTGCAACTGGAGCCCACCCCACCTGAAGCCCCAAAAGCCCTCACAGGGTCTGACCTCCCAGCATGAAACCGCCTCTCCCTGCACTCCAGCTGCCCACCCTGCCTGTTTCTTAACTTCCTCCATTCTGTCCAGCCCATAGACTGTGACCATCTCTCCGGCCACTCTGGCCCTTCCTTTACCTATGTCCTGTCATCATCTTTGAGCAAGATCTCCCAGGTCCATCCAAACATCTGCTTTGTCCACTTTTGACCGGACTGTTAGACACCACTGGGCCATCCCACCTGTGCACAGGGCCCACCATGACGTGCATTGCACCTGGCATCTCCCAGCATGATCAGCAGCCCCCATTGACCAGGTCCCTGCTGACCAGGCTTCACTGACCAGGTCCCTGCTGACCAGTTCTCACTGACCAGGCCCTGCTGACAAGCCCTCACTGACCAGGCCCTGCTGACAAGCCCTCACTGACCAGGTCCCTACTGACAAGGCCTCACTGACCAGGTCCTTACTGATAAGGCCTACTGAGCAGGACCTTCCTGACCAGCCCTCACTGATCAGGTTCCGCCAATCATACCTTATTGCTGGCCCCACAGATGAGGCCCCACTGACCAGGCCTCCAGGGAACAGGCTGCCACTGACAAGCCTCTTACTAATCAGTCCTGAGGTTACCAGATGCCCCTGACCTGGACCCTAGAGAGCTGGCCCCATTAACAGGCACCCATTGCTCAGATCCCGACTGACCAGGTCACCACTGATGAGACTAGTGCTTCAAAAGCCACCACTGACCAAGTCCTCCCTGATCAGGCAATGGGGTCACGATTGGTGGAACCTGGTCAGTGAGGCCTTATCAGTAAGGACCAGGTCAGTGAGGCCTGGCCAGCAGGCACCTGGTCACTGGGGGCTGCTGAGCATGCTGGGGGATGCCAGGTGCAATGCACATTATGGAGGGCCCTGTGCACAGTTGGGTTGGCCCAGTGGTGTCCCATGGCCCAGTCAAAAGTGGACAAAGCAGGCATTTGGATGGACCTGGGAGATCATGCTCAGAGATTCTGACAGGAATCAGGCCCCCACTAACTAGGTGCCACTGCTCAGGCTGCCCTGATCGGGGCCCCAATGACAAGGGCCTCACTGATGAGGACATGCCCACCAGGCCCTGCTGACTAGGTCCCGTGTGACCAGGCCTCCACTGAAGAACACCTTTTGACCTGGTCACCAGAGACCCAGCCCGTGCTGACAAGGCCACCACTACGCTCCATATGACCAGGTCTTCGCTGACCAAGCACCGGCAGCCCAGGTTTCCACCCACCATACACCAAATGACTGGCTACCACTAGGTCCCCACTCATCCAGACCCTCACTACTAGATCCCCCTAATGATACCCTCTCAAAGCACACCCCTGCTGACCACACCCCCATTAAATAGGCCTCACTGACCAAGTCCCAACTGACTAGGTCCACTGAGAAAGCCCACACTGATCAGGCTCCTGTGACGAAGCCCCCACTGGCAAGGCCAAAGCGACCAGGTACCCACTGGCCATGTCTCAAGTGACTAACCCCGCTGAGTAGGCCTTCACGGACTAGGACCCCGCTCCACAGGACCTCACTCATCAGACCCCCACTGACCCAGGTTTCCATTAACCAGGTCCCCAGGGACCAGGCTCCCACTGACCAGGCTGCCACTGACCAGACCTTGCTGCTCAGGTGACAGCCAAACCATATTATTCAGCCCCGACCCCTCAATCTCATCTTCTTCTCACATTACAAAATACAATCATGTCTTCCCAATAGTCTCCCAAAGTCTTAACTCATTCCAGTCTTAACACAAAGGTCCAAAGTTCAAAGTCTTATCTGAGACCAGGCTAGACTTCCATTCAGCTATGAGACTGTAAAACAGAAATGAGTTAGCTACTTCCAAGATATGATGAGGGTACAGGCAGTGGTTAAACATTACCAATCCAAAAGGAAAGAAATCGCTGAACACACACACAGACACACACAGACACACAGACACACAGACACACACACACACACACACACACACACACACCCCTCCCCCTAGGACTACAGGCCTCATGAAGGCTGACTCTTAGCAGGGCAGTCATAAAATGCTGAAGCTCCAGAGTCATCTTGACGCCATCTCTCAAACTGAGGGCACACTGTTGTGAGTGGTGGGCTCCCAAGCGCTCTGCTCCTGTGGCTTTGGAGGGTTCCGCCACCACATCTGCTCTAACAGGCTGAGAGGCATTAAATGCCAATGACTTTTCCACTTTCAGGGTGCAGGCTGTTGGGGAACTACCATTCTGGGATCTGAAGGATGGTGGCCTCCTTGTCACAAAATCACAAGGTGGTGCCCCAGTGGAAACTCTGAGCGGGGGGTTCAACCCAACGTTCCTTCTGGACGGCCCTAGCAGAGATTCACCATGACAGCCCCACCCCGGCAGGAGGCTCTCCCCTGCACACACAGTCTTCTGCATACGTCCTCTGAAATCTAGGTGGAGGCACTAGGTGGAGACTCCAAGCCTCCACTCCTGTACTGGGTACACCTGAAGGCTTAAAACTACATAGAGGGCACCAAGGCTTCTGGCTATATACCTCTGAAGAAGTAAGCTGAGCTGCACCTGGGCCCCTTTCGGACATGTCTAGAGGTGGAGAGAAAGCAGATGAAATGCAAGAAGCAGTCTCCTGAGGCTGTGCAGGGGGATGTGCTGGCCTGGGTATGGCCAATGAAACCATTCTTTCCTCCTAGGCCTCAGAACCTGTGATGAATGGAGATGCTTCAAAGCTCTCTGAAATGCCTTGAGGCCTTTGCCTTCATTGTCTTGGCTACTATTTGGCTCCTTTTTACTTATGCCAATTTCTGAAGTCTTCCAAAATTACTCCCCTAAAAATGGGCTTTCTGTTCCACCACATGGCCAGACTACATATATTCCAAAGTTTTCATCTCTGCTTTCCCTTTAAATTTAAGTTCAATCTTTAGGTCGTTTCTATGATCACTCATATGAAGACAGGCAATTAGAAGCAAATACACCACCTTCTCAATGCTTCACTACTTAGAAATTGATTATGCTAGATGCCCTGAATCATCACACTTAAGTTCAAAGTTTTAAAGATCCCTAGAAAATGGGCACGAAGCTGCCACATTTTTGGCTAAGGCAAAACCAAAGTGACCTTTGTTCCAGTTCCCACTAACTTCCTCATTTCCCTTTGAGACCACCTAACCTGGCCTTCACGATCAGTATTTCTGTCAACATTTTGGTGACAACCATTTAAACAATTTCAAATATGTTCCAAACTTCCCCTTAAATTCCCATCTCCTACTGAGCATGCCAAACTCTGGCCTCTGCCCACTGCCCAGACCCAAACCCGTTCCCACATTGTCAGATGTCTTTAGCAAAATGCTCCATTTCTCAGCACCAATGTACAGTGTTATCCTATGAGAAAAAGTTTTAACTGTCTCACAGTTATGTAGGCTCTACACAAAGAATAGTAGCTTTTGCCTCTCAGAGGCCTCACAAAACTTCAACTCAGTAAAGAGGGCAGTAAAAGACTGAGACATCTCATATAACAAGCACAGAAGCAAAACAAAGAAAGAAAAAGGTACGACGCACTTACAAACAACCGGATCCCATGAAAATTCACTCACTTCCAGGAAAGAGTTGCTGAACAGTTTATTAATAACATACCCACATGACTCAAGCAACACCTACCTGTCCACACTTGATCATTAAATATGAAAATCTGACATCAGTTTTGGCAGGGACATGAAGCCAAACCATATAATTCTGCCCCAGTCCCACTAAACCTTGGTGCTTCTCAAAATGCATAACTTGAGAAAAAAGGCTGCAAATTTACCAAACTTTTAAGCTCTGCTTCTCATTTAAATATAACTTCCAACTTAAAATCATTTTTTGGTCACATAGAAGAGCACAGGTTGTTCGACGCAGCCAGGACACCTCTTCACTTTTGCTGCTTACAAGTACATTCTACCAGATACACCCTAAACCATCATCCTCAAGTTCAAAGTTTCACAGGTCTCCAGGATAGAGCTACCATGCAGCCACTTTGTTTGCTAAGGCCAAACAAAAGTATCCTTGGCTCCTGTTCCCAGTAAGTTCCCGATTTCCATCTGAGACCTCCTCGGCCTGGCCTTCCTTGTTCATCCTTCTGTCAGCCTTTGGATCACAACTATTTTACAAGTCTTTGCAATTGTCAAAACTCTCTTTTATCTTTCTGTCTTCTCTTAAGCCCTCCAAACACTCCAACTCTGTTACTCACTTCTGAACCTGATTCTATATTTTAAGGTATCCTTGTCAAAGTCAGGCAATGCGGTAAAAGAAAAAAGTCCGTATTTGCGGGAAGATTCAAGAAGGCTACAGATATATGCACAAAACAAAACCTGAGTGCTAATATCCAAGACAATGGAAAAAGGGCATTGACGGCATTTTAGAGCTCTACTCCCCAGTACCAATTTTCTGTATGATCATGAAGAAAAGAGGTTTCACTGGTTTACAGTTCTGCAGGCTGTAAAGGAGGCAGAGTGAGTTCTGTCTCTGAGAGGACTCAGGAAGCCTCCCAATCATACCCAAAGGCCAAGGAGCAAAGAGATGTCTCATATGGCCAAAGTAAGAGCAAGACAGAGAGAGGAAAGTGGGGGGCCACACACTTTAAAAAAAACTAGATCTCATGAGAACTCAGTATCATGAGAACAGCATCAAGGAGATAGTATTAAGCATTCATGAATGACCTGTCCCCCACTCAACCTCACCCCTTCAAAATATACAATATCCCTCTCTCCAAATAAACCAGGAAGCACCCCCAACCTCCGTAAACTCTGAACACCGCCCCCCCACCTTTCACCTCTCAAACCTAGGCATCTATGATTAAATCACCTGCCTCCAGGCCCAACCACCAACATGAAATACTACAACTGACATCAGTTTTAGTAGGAAAACAAATCATATTATTCTGTTCCTGGCCCCCCCAAAATTACACCCTCTGAAGCAGTGACCAAGTCTGTACCTGTACACAGCAGTGACCAGAGGCTGCACACAGCAGTGGGGCCATGGGGCTGGCCCAGGAAATCATTCTTCTCTCCTAGGTCCCAGGGCCTATGACATCAAGGGCTGCTGCAAAGTTCTCTGAAATGGCTTGAAGGCCTTGTCCTTTTTGTCCTGCTATTAGCACTGGGTTCTATTTTATGCAAATTTCTGAAGCCTTCTTGAATTTTCCTCCTGAAAATCAGCTTTTCTTTTGGAGCGATTGGCCAGGCTGCGAATTTTCCAAACTTCGGAGCTCCACTTCTCATTTGAATATGTTTCCACGAGATGTGATTTCTTTGGTCACACAGACTGTTCAATGCGGGTAAAGTGCCTCTTGAGCTTTGCTGCTTACAAGTTTGCTTTACCACATACTATGTGAATCATCACCCTCAAGTTCAAAGTTTCACAAATCTCCACAGCAGAGGCACCACGCAGCCATGTTCTTTGTTATGGCAAAACAAAAGTAACTTGGCTCCTGTTCCCAGTAACTTCCTCATTTTCATCTGAGACCTTCTAAGCTTGTTCTTCACTGTACATTTTTCAGTCTGTCCATCCCAACTATTTACCATGTTTACAATGGTCCAAACTTTCCCTCGTTTTACTGTCTTCTTCTAAGCCCTTCAAACTCTCCAACCTCTGGCCCTTACCCCCTCCTGAACCTGCTTCTACATTTTCAGCTATCTTTGTCCCAGCCTGGCAATGTGATAAAAACAGAAAAATCCATTTTCAGTAGGAAAATTCAAGAAGGCTTCAGATATTTGCATATAAAAGAAGCCAATTGCTAATAGTCAAGAAATTAGTAAAAAAAAAAAAAAAAACTTGAGGGCATTTTAGAGCTCCACTCTACAGTATCAATTTTCTGTAATATTATTTTAAAGACAGGTTTAATTAGCTCATGGTTCTGCAGGCTGTAAAGGAAGCATAGTGGCTTCTGCTTCCGGGAGGACTCGGGAAGCCTCCTAACCATACAGCAGGCCAAGCGGCAATGAGATGTTTTACATGGCACGAGTAGGAACAAGACAGAGAGAAAAAGGTGCCGCAGGCTGTTATACAACCAGATTTCATGAGAACTCACTATCAAGAGATCAGCATCAAGAAGATTAACCATTGCTGAAGGATCCGCCACCCACACTCCCACCCACTGTTTCCAGACAGAAGCCTCCTGCAGAGGCACAGCCTCTTGGAAAACTTTTACGATGGCAGTGCAGAAGGAAAATATGGGCTTGGAGCCCCGACACGAGAAGGCACCATCCTCCAGACCCCAGACTCATAAACCCACCAACAGCCCCCATCCTCAGTATGGAAAAGCTACAGGCACTCAACATTAGCCCAGCCCATGAGAGCAGCCACGGGGGCTGAAGCCTGCAAAGCCACAGGTGCACTGCCCTAGTAGAGGTTTTCCATGAGCCTCTGCCTTTGCAGAAGGCTACTCCCTCTTGCTACTACACACCACTCTCACACTTCCTCCTGCCAACATACTCCTCCCCACCCCTTTTTTATCCACCCCAACCCCTTCCGTCCATGATTAAGTCACCTCCCACCTGGCCCCATCTCCAATATTCAGGATTACAATTCACCTGAGTTTTAGCAGGGAAGCACAGCCAAGCCATAGTATTCTGACCCTGATCCCGCAGGATCTCATGGTCTCACAGAGCAAAATACAATCATCCATTTTCAAAAGTTGCCAAAAGTCTTAACTCATTCCAGCATTAACTCAAATATAAAAAGTTTAACATCTCATCTGAGACAAGGAGTCTCAGTCCCTTTTGCCTATGAGTCCCTGAATTTAAAAGGGAGTTCTTTTCTTTCAAGGTACAATGATGGTATCGGCACTGGGTATACTTTCTCAATCCAAAGGAAAGAAATTTCCCAGAAAAATAACACAAACAGGACCACAGGCCCAATGCAAGTCAAAAACCCAAGAATCCAGGATCTATTCAATCCCACAGCTCTAAAATCATGAAGAGAACCCACTATTACATGGAC